ATGAGACTTACTCAGAGGCTTTAGTCTCGAATTAGTCACCCAGACGCAGGGGAGGGCGAATAACGCCTCGAGCAGCACAAATGGGGTGGCAGGGGTCGAGTGAAATACATGAACCAGGGAGAGCAGACGGGGCAAGAGAGAGACTGTGATAAGACTTAGGGAAGGACTGCGTAAGAATATGGCAGACTCTGATCAACATTCCCAGTACAAGGGTGAAGGGGGTGAGAACGACAGCGTGAAGTATGAAGGGTTTTCATGAATGTCGCTCAAAGGAGCACATCACACTACATCTAAATAAGCAGGGTAAAAATTGTAACAGTGAGGGCGTGATAGGAGGATATAGGAAATGAGAATAGGCTAGGGCAGAAGCGGAGATACCACAACTGTTTAGCACACGTTTGGTCAAAGGATCGGCTTCACTTGTCTCTGACGCGTTGTTGTGTGGTGCTAAGAATGACGAGACTTAGTGACGATGCCGGCGAAACGTCTGGGAATGTACCACGTCCACGGTCCGACTTTGGAGATGATCATGGATACAATAGACTCCCGACTAGGTGCGTTCCTCTAAGTCTTCCTACCAATATGACCAAGTCACGAAAAAAAGGTGAAACAACCTCTATATATGCTACAGTTCGAAAGTCCGATTGCATCACCAATAATTGTGCTCAGTTCAAATCCGTTTGTAAAGACTACATGATCATACAAATTTAGACAATTTTATCGCTAAAAGCGCTTGATCTGATTGACATTATTTTGCTCGTCAAGGAGGATACACAATAATGACAGAGATACTTTATTGAATCTTCTGTGTGCTTAAATTATGAGTCTCATGGTCATGCCCTTGCTACATGGACCACGGCTCTTGTAAAACATATTGTCAGTTAGATCAGCAAAAAGAAGATTACTGGATCAAAGTAATATCCTTAATTTTAGGAAAAGAGAACGCAAGGTGATAAGAAAAGAACAATCAGAAGCAAAGAGAAGACGTCTTCAGTGAGCCTAATCAAAACAAGTAGAACCACGACAATTTTGGGTTGTCACACAAGGGACTAGGACGTAGAAAGTAATTGACATGCTATTACAGATAAAAATAGGAAAGACGCGGTGGAGACTAAAGCTATTTGGCTAACAATAGACGTATTTGATCATAGAGGCGATCATGGAATAACGACTATTCTTAGCCAACGAGCTCTAGCTTTCAGTGTTTCTATCCTCTTTCTTTATATAATATCAAGTCTATGACTTCCTATGCCCTAATCTATTGTGTGCCAATCCCACAAACATTGTGGTTCAACATTGAGCCTAATCAAAGCAAGCAGTACCACAACATTTGTGGGTTGGTACACAAGAGACTAGGGCATGGCAATTCATAGACTTGGCATCAGGGATAGATACAGGATAGATGGGGCGGCGATTGAAGCTAGTTGGCTGACAGTAGGTTTTACAAGAGACATGTTCCATGTATCAAAGGCATGATCATGAGACTTACTCAGAGGCTTTAGCATCGAATTAGTCACCCAGACGAAGGGGAGGGCGAATAACGTCTTGAGTAGCACAGATGAGGGGCAGGAGTCGAGTAAAATACGTGTACCAGGGAGATAGCTACGAGGCAAGAGGGAGACTCTGATAGGACCTAGGGAAGGACTACGTAACAGTATGACAGACTCTGGTCAACATTTCTCGCACAGAGTGAAGACGGTGGGAACGATAGCATGGAGTGTTAAGGGTTTTCATGAATGCCGCTCGAAGGAGCACACCACACATCGAAATAAGCACGATAAAAAGTGTAACAGTGAAGGCATGATAGGATATGGGACATGTGAATAGCCCAGGGTAGAAGGGAAGATACCACAACTGTTTAGCACAGGTTTGTTCAAAGGATCGGCTTTACTTGTCTCTTTGAGAAGCTGTACTATGGTGTTAAGAATGGCGGACTCACTGACGATGCCGGCGAAACTTCTGGGAAAGTACCACATCCACCCTCAAATTTTGGAAATGATCATGCATACAATGGATTCCGGACTAGGTACGTTCCTCTAAGTCTTCCTACCAATATGACCAAGTTTCGAAAACAAGATAAAACAACTTCTCTAGTAACTTTAGTTAGATAAATGTCTAAAGCCAGTATAAATATTGAAAGTTGGTCTATTGTGTTGATAGATTTTTTTAAACTTTTAAAAGCGAATGAAATACTATAAGGATTACTTGTAAAATATATAAGATAGATCTAAATTAGAACCCAGTTACAGGATAGAGAAAAATAAAAAAAATATCAGAACTGTTAAAAACCATTAGGAAAACCTAGCAAGCCAAACGTAATGATTATAGGCTTTCAGGCAAGCTATGAATCAGCTTTGAGTAGACTCAAAGTCAAATGAGCCAGAATTATAAAAAATTAATAAGCTATTAAAAGAGTAGCAGATTAACACCATTTTTAGAACTATAATAGTTCACAAGATATGACTAACGACCTTTAATCGTTTTCTGCATGTCAGCTAATGCTTTCTCCATTGCGAGAAGACGGCAATTGGCATGATGATAAGCGACGGTTGTTTCTGCTCTTTCTCCACGAAAGATACGACGTACAGAAAGGCCATTGCCGTTTTCTGTAGAGGAGACAGGAACGGTTTCCATATATTGAAGGGGAAACCGTCGCTAAGAAAGTTGACAATTAATATCAGGCAATAATTTTTAAATAATTCGCAAAATATAAGAATAATTTAAAGGAAACTATGAAAAAAATGGCGAATACATGCTGGTAGTAAAGGTACTTAGAGTGATCAATGCTAGATGTATTCTTAAACCAAAGCAAGGCAAAGTAAAAGTCGTGGAAAGCTGGGATATGCGAATACATATCTAATGAGATTTGAAAGCAATAATGGATAATGACAAAGTATAAAATGAATTTCAGTAAAACGTGATTCAAAACGACGTAGATAATATTCGTCAGTAGTGACAAATAAAAAAAACTAAGCAGAAACACACTTAAAATAAGCAATAGAGACCTTAACTTCTATTAGTATTCTTGTAGATAATAAGCTTTAACACCAAAAGTATAGATAAGTACAGGAATATCTGTAGTAAGGTCGACACGAAACTAGCGAACCAGAATCGAATTGGACTAGGAAAGCTGATGATAATAATGTGACGTCGAACATGAAGTCAAGCCTGGATAAGAATACATGTTGGGAGAGAAG